GTTTCGTTAACGATCAGTGAGCTTTAATCAACGGACGACTCTCCCGTTAGCCAGGCTTACCCCCATTTTATTCACAAATGTAGTAGCGAATATGCGCGTCGAGAATTCTTATTGTAGGGAAGATGGGCGCGCGATCAGTGAACCTAGGCCGTCCTGTACGATTTTTTTTTGGAATTTCCTCAGAAATTAGTCGCTAATATGGAGTAAATTAGTACGTATTAAGCTGTATGCTTGACTGAAAGTTGACATGAATATTTTAACCGACTTCTATCAGTGTTAACGGGATAACTATGTAATATTCATCAACCGGATACACCATTATGATAGCACAGACACTAGCTAAAAGCAGTTTGTGCATATGGGAACCACAGTAGACGCGTCTTCGACCGCGTTCCCACCCGCCCTCACGGCGGCCAAGGTCTGTCACGCCAAACCTCCCTACGGTGGATCTACTTCCCCTTCTCTACATCTCTGTTTTTAACGACGGAGCAGCCCCTCCCGACCACACTGCTCCGACTTCTCCTCCTCGCCGCCGGGATTGGGGCCAACCTGGCGGGGCTACTGATCCAACAAGGGCTACTAGCCAGCCAATCTGTGCATATCACGCAGTTAACCCGCTACAGCTAATGAACTTCGATGTAGATATTTATATTAACTTTCACAGGGAGCATATGCAGCTTTACTCCACGATAACGACTAATATCTAAGGAAATGAACAATTTGAAAATTCAAAACTGAAGTATCTACCAGAAAGCACACAGGAAACACTGGGGAGATCACTGATGACCTGAAGCCCTCGCAGCGCTGTCGTGCAGGGGAAGAATATCGGCGAAACCCGGGTCTGGACTTTGGCTAGTACCCGTGCTGCAAATATGGTCTATCACGTAACCCCTTCACTTTATCTACGAGGCCGAAAGCTCAGGATAATACACCGCCTGTTACAGTGATCGCGCGTTCATATCATCTGCATATTTAATTCAGCCGAAAGCTACGCGACCATAAGACTGCTTCCTAGAAGCTTTTATTGCGTAAAATCATAATCGGGGCTCTGAAAGCATAAATCTGGTCTCTTTCGCAGCCAGAGCTAAAGGACAAGGCAGCAGCCAATAGTAGTGGTTGAAGTGTTTAGTGTGTGAAAGAGTTGTCGGATTCAGCAGATATTTGCCCAGACAACTTCAGTAAGATCCAGCAACCACGGAAACCGCAGACGACTCCTAGAATTTGAGTGAAAGTCGGCTAGAGAAGACCACAAAGATTTTTGAATAGGAGTGGTTACCAGTCTTGAGCAGGCTTCAAGCATCAATGACAGCTCGAACATGTCATCCGCGAAGGTTCTGTTTGCGATGACAATGAAGACTTTATTGCTTAAAGTCCTGTCAGGGTCGAGCGCTTTCTCAAGTTTCATGACAACCCCCATTACCACTCTCGTCGGAACCAGAATGAAAAGCTCCTCCCCCCCCAGGAGTTAAAGTGCAACCAACCCCTTCGAATAAATCTTTCAGACAATACTCAGGTTGTGCAACTGGTCATCAGGAAAGGAAGATCCCATGGGACTGACTCAATTGAGCCGAGCTCGATGGACAAAGTAATGTCGCTGTGACGAGTACTAGAATTAATTAGCCGCCTGCTCCCTGAATTGTACTTAGGTGTTCAATTCCGTACATACGCTCTCCCATTTTAGATCAATACGACTCGTGGTCAAAGCCTACTATTGTTACATCGTGACTCCTCCACTTTCCCAAAAAACCCAAACAATTGTCCGGTCAGACGTTCGGCAGGGATGCTTCCTGCTGCCATCCTGGTTAACTGCGTCATTGGGAAGGTCTACGAGGCTCTGGGTTACCCCTATCTCATCGGCCCACGAAAACCCACAGAACGTCACGTTCCTGCTGAAGCAGATGGTCAAATCAGCTGGCCAGAACTAAAGCAATTCTGGGTTATCTCTTTAACGGGGGAGTTGCTCTTATTATTGCCGGCCGTTGACAGTTTCGGATACCACTGGGCCAGATCTCTGCCCAGCGAACGATGTCGCAGCTGGGATCGACGTCACTCAAAAAGCTTCTGGCGACCAATGACTGGTTGTAGCATTTCACTTAACAGTTAGTAAGGTCTGTGCTTTCGTCTGGGACTATGTCCGAACTCGGATAAAGTTTTTTTCAGATACGACGCTCTAGGTTTAGCTGACAGTTCCGACTAATACTTTAGTGATGGTCATGCGCTCAGTCAGAGTTTCGCGATAGAGAGCATTGTGGCGGATCAATACACCATGCCGAAACTAGCAGACCAGATTATCGTTAGTACATGCCGGAAAGTGCATCTTTTATCCGCGTTGTAAATGTTTCGGGGTCGAAAATCACAACAAGCTCACAAAGCAGAGGCTCTGTGCAAAGAAATCTGGCCTCACATTGCAACGCTAGCCGGAAAGGGACAGTGAAAATGAATAGTTATTGAAGACCCCTGTACGCGGAGCGGCTGAGAGGACTCAGGGATCCGTGCAACAGCACTGCAGCGCCTAGAGGAGCTGAAGTACATTGCGCTTGCCTACTCGGATGATCCACACTAAGCTTCCTTCTCCCATCTCTGAAAGTAAGCTAGGAATGACTACGAAACGGTCGCGTCGGAAATGTGACCTCCAAGGAGTAGGTTCCCGATGGCCGAAAACTAAAAATTGGTGACAGACCACCCGCACTATAAGTAGGGTAAACTGCGACCTATTTGCCGACGACCTTTGTAACTCTGACGACTAACTCATCTACACCAGCTTATGCAGTTTCTTATGGCCCTCTACCTTTCCAAGGAAGAAATAATCAGCCCAATATCGAGAGACAACAAGGCCTCCAGAAAGGGTGGGTAGCCCTGATGAAGCCTACATATGTTGTAGCCCTAGCTGACGAGGTGGTTGAGCCAGCAGGGGAATGTAACCGTTTCCAGTGACTGGCGTTCGGGCATACTTGTGTATGCCGCTAGGCAAGACGTGGGGAACACT